GCTGTATCAACACGGCAAGCCGTATCGGTGTCGCTGTGCGAGCACCTGAAAATCCACTGTGTTACCCAGGCCTAATTACAGATAAAGTCTTTGCAAAGTGTGTTGGGAGAACAAAAACGTTCCTCTAACTAAAAGTACGAGCTGTGTGAGTCTCAACACGTTGCACGGACTTGACTGTATCAGGACTAGAACCAACTGAAGAACTATTGATTTTAGACGAGAATTACTCAAAGGATGGAACGTGTCGACTCTTCAGCTCGGTATTCCGTGTTCGGAAAATTTCTCGCTGGTAACTACCATGGGCGAGCCAGTCGTGATCAGATCATGGAACATCGCCGGACTTCCAGTCGATAATTACAGTGTGGAGAATGGGATTATTGCTACAACCGCTCGGAGATATCCGCTCATGATTGACCCGCAAGGTACGTTGGAGTTTTCATGTGGTGGGCCCTAATCGAGTCAGAGGTTTCAGGCCAAGCAAACAAATGGGTGAAAAACATGGAGAAAAACAACCGGTTGCAGGTGATTAAGCTAACAGACGCCAATTATGTGCGAATCCTGGAAAATGCCATAACCTTTGGAACCCCTGTGATACTGGAGAACATTGGAGAAGAGCTAGACGCAGTCCTCGACCCGATTTTGTCGAAAAACATTTTTAAGCAACAGGGCGTGTGGTACTTGAAGTTGGCCGAGAACGTTCTGGAATACTCGTTCGATTTTCGCTTTTTTATTACAACCCGCCTGAGAAACCCCCATTACTTGCCCGAAGTGGCCGTGAAGGTGAGTTTGCTGAATTTCATGATCACCCCGCAGGGTCTGCAGGACCAACTGTTGGGCATCGTGGTGGCAAGAGAGAAACCTGAGCTGGAAGAGAAGAAAAATGCCATGATCGTGGAAAGTGCCAACAACAAGAAAATGCTGAAAGAAATCGAAGATAAAATCCTGGAGGTTTTGTCCACATCCGAAGGCAACATTTTGGAAGACGAAACGGCTATAAAGATACTGTCGTCGAGCAAAATCCTATCGGCCGAGATCGAAGAGAAGCAAAAACAGGCGGCTAAAACCGAGCAGGAAATCGACTATGCCAGAAACGAGTACGTTCCAGTATCAAAGCACTCATCCATACTGTTCTTCTGCATATCGGACCTAGCCAACATCGAGCCAATGTATCAGTACTCCTTAACCTGGTTCATCAACCTCTACAATCAGGCGATCACTCACAGTCCTCAATCCTCAGTGCTGGAAGAACGCCTGGGATATTTGAGCAACTTCTTCACCAATAGCATCTACCGAAATGTTTGCCGCTCATTGTTTGAAAAGGACAAGCTGATCTTTTCGTTTGTCTTAACCGTTGGAATTATGAGATCGCAGGTGGGATGATGATTAGTATTTTCCAATCTGACCGGACTTAGTGGTTTAAAATTGCAGAACAAGATCGATGAGGACGTTTGGAACTTCCTGATAACAGGAGGCGTGGCTTTGGACAATCCGTTTCCCAATCCAGCCCCAGAATGGTTGTCGGACAAAAGCTGGTCGGAAATTGTGCG